TAATAAAAAGTGGCAGGAGAAAATTAATATGAAATGCGATATGGAAATTTCCGTTTATTAAAATTAAGAAAAGAAATAAAAAATTTTATTAATCTTTTCGATAAAAAATAAAATTTCGCGCGCCTAAATTTTTTTTTTTATGCATGTGTGACCTCACATAACCGCCATTTTATTTCGCCATATTTTTTAAGATTATTAAAAATTATAAAAAATTTTTTTACTATTTATTATTATTATAATAATAATAATAATTTTTTTTTGGCAAAATCGTCGTAAAAATTAACCGGATAAAAATATAATAATTAATTTAATGATCGATGAGAGTCAAAGGTTATTGAATTTATTATCCCGTATTCATCAGGTACGGATTGGGAATTTTTATTTCATTTCGTTTCTTAAGTTAAATTTAAAAAAATTAATTAATTAATTAATTAATTGATTAAAATTTTTTTTAAAAAACTCATTCGTCACAATTATATTATATTAAAAAAATGAAAAAAAAAAAAAGTTTTTTTAATAATAATAATAATAATAATAATAATAATAATAATAATAATAATAATAATAATAATATTAAAACGAGAAAACGAAAGGCGAAGTGTCATCATCAAATAGTTTTTTTTTTTTTATATTATTATTTAATTCAGATAAAGTGATTTCGAATAAGGACAATTAAACGTAAACGAGTTTTTTTCTATTAAAAAAAATAAAATTTATTTATAAATGTCTACAAACATTTTTTTTTGTTGGTGCCACGACCGATGCCCCCTTTTAATATTTTTTTTTTTACATTTTTAGTTACCCGCATAAAATAGTTAATAATTTTTATTTTTATTTTTTGGTACACTAAAGGAAATTTACTTGCGGCATTAATTAGCAATTAATTATTATTATTATAATTATTAATTTTTTTTTGTGACGTAATCCGACATTTATTAACAATTTTATAAATTTTACGACATAAGTTAAACGTGTAAATAAATTGTAAAGAAAAAATGTCAAATGAATTCGAATTAATATAATCGAAAAATTTATTTGCAGACGATTTATTATCATTATTATTATTTCCTTTGATTTTTAACTTCCGTTTTTTAAAAATTTTTACCGCCAATTTTCCTTTTTTTTAAATTAAAAAACTTTATTGTAAAGATAAGAAGAGGGAGAGATGAGAAGAAGAAGAAGAAGAAGAAGAGAAAAAAAAAATGATGCTGCGGTTTTTTCTTTCTTTCTCTCTCTCTCTCTCTCTCTTTGTTTTTGTTCTTTTAAGATTTACAAGAAAGTTTTTTTTTATTTTTTAAAAGTTAAAAAAAAGAAAATAAAAGAATGGAGGGAAAAGTTTTTGTTTTAAAAAATATGTCGCAGATTTAAAGTTTTAACTTGAAAAAAAAAAAAAACTTTTTTCGGTTTTTGGTTTTTTTTTATTATTTTAAAACAAATTTAAACCTGTAAATTTCAGGTGTCATCTTATTGAATCTTATTTTAAAATCTTTTAATTTTTATAAAAACTTTCAAAAAAATTTCATTCAATATTATTATTATTATTCTCTAACAAGGGGCTGTCGGTTTTAATTTAAACCCGGTTTTTTTTCTATTGACAAACGAGCCTTTTTTTTAATTTCATTTCGTTAACGAACGAACAAAAGAGTTGAAAGAAAAAAGAAAAAAAGTTTTTTTTTTTTTTGCCTTTTGTTTACCCTCATTGGTAATTTAATAAGTGGGTTGCATATACGGGCATTTATAACCAGATGGCTCACGTTAATAAAAAACTCATATGAGTGCCGTTATAAGACACTTGATTATTTCCTTCCTGGCGGTTGCATTCAAAGCCCAACAACAACAACAGCGTTCAGCAATTAAGCTAAGGAAGCAAAATCATTGTTAAATAACGGAAGTCCTCTCTCTTTTTTCTTTTCTTTCTTTCTTTTTTTTTTTCGGTCTCGACAAAAAAAAAAATTTAACGAAACGCTTTTTAATCGCGTTTACGTCGACGCAAATTTTTGCGGAAAATTTGCTTGAAGGTAGGTAGAAAATTAACGACAGTAAAAAAAAACAGTATAAATTCACGTTAAAAACACTAAAGAATGTAAATTTTATTTTCTTCATTTTCTCAGGTTGATTCCTTTTTTTTTTTTTTTCGTTACCGTCATTTTCCATTTTAAATTTATGTGCATGTAATTATAATTTAGTTTTCGCCCCCTTACCTTCCACCCCCCCAAAAAAAAACAAAAAGCAAAATGGCTGAACGAAATTTTATATAGTTAGTTTTACCTATAAAATCTCAC